CAGTCCCCCAAGGCGCTCTTCAACATCTGCACAACAGACACCAAACATTATTAACTGTATGGTACACATCGACAACTGCACACCCGGATCACCACCCACTTACGCACCAGACGAAGAAGAGCTCCCGCCACCGCGCTCACAAGGACTTCAGGTCAACCCAACATACGCTGCGGTCGCCAACGCCGAACCCACCGGGCGAAACACCTGGTTCTTGGACAGCTGCTGCGGTCAACACATGTGCTCTTCGGGACGCTTCGTGCAACGAGAGAAACGCCTCAACCGCGACGTCATCATCACCGTCGCCAACAACGAAAACCTGAAAACAAACAGACAAGGCGTGGTTCAGTTACAATCCATGGAGACAAACATCATACTTCAGCTCAACAAAGTCCTCATTGTCGACAACTTGGGATACAACCTACTAAGCGTAAGCCAACTAATGGCCAAAGGGATTCACCTGGAGTGCGACTCCCACTCCAACGAGTTTCGACTTTACCACGGGAAGGGCGGCCTCTTCATCGGTCGTGCTCTCCTGAAGTCCGGCGTCTTTGTGTTGGACTTCGTCCCCGACCGCGGTACTGCCGACAGCGACGGTATCGTGTCGTTCGCCGCCTGGACACACCCGCCGGATCTTGATCCCAACTTCGACACTGACGGATTCTGGCACTCCAACACCATACCTGCAGCAGAAAGAACACGAGCATTAGCAGTCATCAGACAAGAAAGACAAGTACCAGCAAGTGTCCCTTCCCAACCATCACCTGCAGTAGCAGCAGCAGGACCCAGCCGAGTACCACCACCAGCGATCCGAGGACCGCCAACCGAAGCAGACCAGCTTATGCCCATCACACGAGAAGTCTGTCGAAGTCCCGCCACAGTCGCCGCGTTCTTCTCCAACGCCGACATATACCACCGTTCGCCCGGCCATCGCGCTCCCGACGACATCTGGCACCAACGCCTCGGGCACCCTGCAAATAGTACAATACTACAAACCATCCAAGCCGAAGTGTTAGAACGCAACGCCCTCCTAACGACAAGCGGCCAAGAACTTCGACGACCACGCGTACGGTGCTTCACGTGCCCCGAAGCCGATCTTCCCCACCAGTCCTTTCCATCTCATCACAACCCAAGCGCACCTGCATACGCACCGATGGAAAAAGTCTACAGCGATATTTTAAACATGCCTCGAGAAGACACAGAAGCAGACTTCAACTATGTCATCACGTTCATCGACGCAGCAACCAGATACGTCTGGCACTACAACCTCAAGACGCGCGATCAAGCGTTCGACGCCTTCACAACATGGCTCCCCATCGCCGAACGAGAATCAGGAACCAAGCTCAAGAGCTTCCAGTCAGACGGTGCACTGGAATACCAGTCACAACGCTTCAGGACCTATCTGGCGGAAAGAGGAATCAGACGCCTGGTGTCTCTGCCATACGCTCACCAGCAGCAGGGGGTCGCAGAACGCATGAACCGGACCTTGCAGACGACGATGCGAAACCTGCTCCTGGGGATGAGGCTGCCCACCACACTGTGGCCAGACGCGATGACCCATGCAGTTCACCTGCACAACCTGTTGTCCTCGTCATCGCTTCCCAACAACGCATCACCGCACCTCCTGTGGACACGAAAACGGGGCAGCACAAAATTACTTCGAGTTTTCGGCTGCATGGTACAGTACAGACCCCACACCGCCCGAGCAGGACGCTTCACTCAACGAGCTCGATGGGGACTACACCTCGGCATCGCAAAACATTTTTATGCATGGAAAATCGTCGACATACAAGACAAAAATACGGTGGCATCACGTGATGTTATTTTCTACGAGCGACTGACGCTGCAGCATTACCTGGACAACATTGCCAACACACAAGACCCCACCGACGGCTTCTCGGGACTTCGTTCCTTCGCTAACCGTGCTGCCGAAGCTGACGCAGCAGAAGAAGACGTACCTGAAGCCTCGGAAGCTGCCGGACCACTCCCTTTCTGTTCCGTACCTGTTCCACTCGACGAAGACAACCCTCTCGATAGTAGCAACCTCGACACCTTTTACCACTTCGCTGACCAAGGTTACATTACACCCCACCCAGTCGACACAAATGTTTCAGAACACATCGGCCCCAACTTCTTACCTGACCCAGAAGACGGTGACGAAGCAACTTATTCCGGGAATGAAAATTCCCCTCGACACACACCCACGGGACTGCAGATTCTCGGCCTCTGGGTCTCCGTCCAGCATCCACCGCCGCCATCTCCACGCGAGCCATCGACTCTGTCGCAGGCTCTGGGGGGGGAACACAAGGCGAAATGGAAAGAGGCGATGGAAAAGGAGTTAAAGGCTCTGCAAGACCGAAATACATGGAAGCTGGTACCTGCAACAAGCATCAACGGGAAGAACGTCCTCTCGGGAAAATGGGTGTACCGCATCAAGACCAATGCGGACGGTTCCACCGAACGATTCAAAGCTCGATGGGTCGTACGAGGCTTCGATCAACGATACGGAACCGACTACACAGAAACCTTCGCCCCAGTCTCCCGTCACACCTCCCTGCGCATTCTACTCGCCGTCGCGGCCACGAAGGAACTACCACTGCGCCAAATCGACGTCGCAAATGCTTTCCTGTACGCACCTGTGGACGCTGAGATCTTCGTCGAGCAACCCCACGGATTCATCGACGACCCCACGAAAGTATGCCAACTGATAAAATCCCTATACGGGATCAAGCAAGCCCCGCGGCTCTGGCAGCAGCATCTTCACGGTCGCCTCGCAAAAATCGGATTCCTACAGCTGCCACATGACCAAGGGATGTACCGACTGCAGAAGGGAAGAGAGTATATCCTACTCATCGTTTACGTCGACGACCTGCTCTACATCGGTTCCACTACCGACATCGCCACCTGGTTTGAAGGGGAGCTGAAAAGGGACTTGACACTCACAGTGTCCGACACAGTGACCCAGTACCTAGGACTGAATGTCGTCGAAGACAACTCGGCGTTCTACCTACACGCCGGAAAATACGCAGGCACTGTCGCGAAGAAATTCGGTCTAACGCCGACTACGGTCCCGACTCCCTACCGCTACGGGAACAACAGCAGCACCTCCGCAAAACTCCCCGCGAAGCAAATTCAGGAGTATCAGCAGAAACTCGGCTGCCTACTATTCGCAGCAGTAACCTGCCGACCCGATCTATCTTATAGCGCGAGCCAACTGGCGACGCACCTGAAGCAGCCGGAACAAGAAGATCTCGGGGAACTCAATCGGGCACTACTCTACTTCGTCTCCACGCCGACGACCGGGCTTACCTACAGTAAAGCAACAACATCGTCCATACAACTACTCGGATACGCCGACGCCGACCACGCGGGAGATAAGGAAAATCGACGATCTAGGACGGGCTACATCTACCGACTAGAACCTATCGGGACTATCTCCTGGCAGTCGAGCAAGCAGGAACTAATCGCACCATCTTCGGCTGAAGCAGAGTATATCGCCCTTTGTACTGCGACCAAGGAAGGACTCTACCTACGAGAGTTACTCGAGGAAGCGAAGATTGCGGCTCTGCCCGCCTTCTCACTCCTCTGCGACAACCAATCTGCGATCAAAATCGCGAACAAGGACAGCTTTGCCAACCGAACCAAGCACATCGCCCTGCGGTACTTCTTCGTCAAGGATGAAATCGCGAAGGGGAGACTTCAACTCAGTTACTGCCCGACGACAGAAATGGCCGCAGATTATCTGACGAAGAAATTGGCGAAGGCAAAATTTGATTACTGCATGCTCCTGACCGAACAAACAAACATCACCGGATCTGAACACGCCAGCACTCCAGAAACGAAGGGGAGTGTTGGAAATATCTCAAAGGACTTAAGCGTTTCTGAAGTGTAACACTACACTCGAGGAAGATTACAGGGGGGGGTACGCGAGTCAACGGAGGTTACACGAGGGGGCAGACAAAGAACGCGAAGGAACTCGAAAGGTCGCAACTGGAGGTTGCGACTGACAGTTACAACATCGCAGATGGTAACCGAAGTGGCAATCGAGTCGCCTGTGCGACTCGATAACCGCTCCTGCAACTGTATTCTACAACTGCTTTCTTATTTCCTATATATTGCTGTATGTTTGTTTCTTTAATCAATCACTTGTTCTCATATACTAGTACAAGGGTTCAACTGCCTCAACTTCCGCTGCACTACTCAAAGTCTCATTTTATAACTGGGACTTAGTCTCTGGAAAGATCCTAAGGGCTTTTATCAGACCAACACACATTCCATAACTCCTGGGTGCTGTATTTTTTTTGCCTTTAATTACACCCAACCCAAAATTTGTTGCATTTTTATTAACACCATAGGGTGTTTTATACGGGGGATTACGGTATATAGATTTTACTTGTATTAAGCAATTTTCTCAATCATTTACCCAGTTATTTCTTTGCATTCTTCATCAACAACTCTTTCGCTAAACTCTTCTGCTGCGCATTTTCCTCGATTTAACCAACTCCGCTAATCTCTAGCGGGTTTAGGCCAAGCGGCCTAACAACGGTACTTGCGAAGTCCTACAAAACATACCTATATTTTTATAGTTTGAAAGGTGCTTTCCGCTGGTCAGCATGACACTTCACAACCGCACCGCCTGTGATTGCAGCTGTTTCAAGAACGAAGTATAGTCGTTATGGAGGAAGCTCCGCCGCTCAAGCACAGTCAGCTCCCTCGTTTTAATCGCGCCAACGAAATGGTAACTCGACTGTGGTCGGTCGCCGGAGCGCGGGCGCTGGTTTTCTGTGGTGAAGCCAGGGTAGAGGAAGCCAGAGTTTTGGACGAAATCAGTTACAATACAGACGAGCTGTGTTCTGTCAATTTCCAGAACCGATGGTTGGTCGCCTCGGCACCGGGGCCCAATCGCCGAAACGCCACTTCACAATACGCACATGGCGGCTCGTGATGTCCCTCCAGGCCATCTCCTTCCGAGATTCCTACCGTGAATGTCTTCCAATTCCAACCCAGCCTCCACTCTGGTTTGCCAGGCTTATCGCCTGCCAAAGCCTGTTACCTCAGGAATTCCGTGGAAGCACTGGGGGACCTAAACGCCTGTGACAAATATTTCTCCGTCCGCATTTGGCCTTAGCTGAGGAAAAAAGAATGGCGATGACGTACGAGTGTGTTCCCAGTAAAGCCACAGTCTCTTTATATCCAGCCCCTGCAGGGCACGACCATGTGCATTGACGAGCCAAGCTTCATCAGCTGTGGAGTCACAACCCAGCACGCAGCGTTAGGATTTGAATGCGACGTTCTCCCAGTCTAGCTCTGGATGTGCCATCAGGTGGGTTCCCATCGCGACCGCCTCTCGTGCTTGCCATCCCTCGTGCGCCTGTGAATGGACTGTCCGCCGACTCGCCTCGTGCTGCCCGACGGTCGTCCCCTCGACCTGCACCTCACGTACGCCATCACGGTGGACGAGGCCCTTCACCGCGCGCTGCCCTTCGCCATCTCCTCCTCTCTCGCGTGCTCCGCCCTCCACCCCTCTTGCCACATCTCCTTGCGTTCCACCGACCGCGGCCTGCTGCGCGGCAGATGGCGCGACCTTCCGCTCTCGCGGCAGCTGCAGCTGGGGCGCACGTACCTGGTGGTGGTGGAGCGCGGTCCGCGTGGGGGGAAGCACAGCCTGCGGTACGACGGCCGCGGCATGGCGGAGCTGGTGTCGGCGGCCACGGCGGTGGAGCATGCGGCAGGCGACCACGTGGATGCGACGGACGAGGTTGGACTAACGCACCATGATGCCATGGCGTTCATCATCGTTTCCTTAGACGCGCTGTGCTCTTCCCATCCACTCTCTACTTCTCGCGCGCAGTCGTGCATCTGTCGCTCTAAGGGCCACGGCCTCTTTCTGTTGTTCTCGTGCCAAACACCCCGCTCCCTCCTTCTGACCATGCCTGCCCATTTCCCCCACTATTTCCTTGCTGCATCGCATCCCAGCGGCACGGCTCGTCACACCTCTCGGAGTCGCTGCTCTCAGCACTACTGAATGGCGCGCGACTTTCGGACGTGGAGGCCAGCAGTGAAGCCACGTGGCGGCACCAAATTCACTGCCACCTCCCCTCGCCCCTCTCCCCCGGCGCGTCCCTGGACGCTCAAGGGCTTCTTGACTCCGGACAGCCCTCCACGCCCGACGGGCGCGCTCGGCGCGCAGTGGAGCTGACCAATGAGATGGCGGTGCGCCTCGTGGCTGCGGCGCGGAGAATGGTGGAAGCGGGGCAGTGGGACGCACTCCTCGGCGGTCGCGACGCGGCAGTCGTGGAACCACAGGCGCACGGCGCAGCGCGTGGGGCGGAGAAGGGCGAACAAGGAGAGGAGGGCTGCAGGGGTGGCACAGAGGGGCCAACGCTGGAAGAGTTGGTGAGGTGGGTGGAACGGGAGGAGTTACTAGCGGTGATGACTGGTGACGCAGAGAGGGAAGAGGAGACACGCAGAGAGGAGGGCGGCGACGAGCACGGAGGTGAGGGGGAAGCGGAGGCCGAGGGGCAAGGCGGCACGGTTACTGTAGCTCGCTGCGAGGTAGGCGCGCATGGCGCGCTACGTGTGATGGCCAGCAAGCCAAGGGACCGGCTGGCAGCAGCAGCTGCGCGTGGGAGCACGGTACAGGACGGAGGCTCTTCCGGAGAACCGCCCGGAGGTAGAGGACACCGGCGCGAGAGGCAGGAGATCGCTGGCGGGGAGGACGAGGAACGTGCAAGCGAGGCCGAGGAGCAACAAGCGGACGACGAGGGGAGCTGCGGAATAGCGAGAGATGCGCCGGAGGGCAGGGCGGAGGATGCACGGGACGGCGTTGAGAGCGACAGCGAGATGGATGCGTTCTCGCTCAGCGTCGGCCCCGACGACGACGCGCCGGCGGTGGCGCCCCATGCGGCGCAGTGGAAGGACGAGAGCCAGGCGTTGTGGGTGGGGCTGGGGGAGATGATTGCGCGAGGGGAGGCACGAGTGAGAGCTCCCGCGACGGACGGGTGGGGTGACGGGAAGGAGAGCGACGACGTGAGCACTAGCGAGGGAATGGTGAGCGGGGGGGTGGAGCTTACTGGAAAGCCGGTGAGTGACGCAACGAATGGGGAGGAACAGGACGACGGAGAGGTGGGGGGGGATGACCAGTGCGCGAAGGATGCGGAGGGTGCGGAGGGTGCGGAGGGTGCGGATGGCGTAGAGAGTGCGGAGAGCGCAGAGGGTGCGGAGAGCGCAGAGGGCGCGGAGAGCGCGGGGGGCGCGGAGAGCGCAGGGGGCGTGGAGAGCGCCGAGGGTGCGGAGAGCGCCGAGGGTGCGGAGAGCGCCGAGGGTGCGGAGAGCGCCGAGGGTGCGGAGAGCGCCGAGGGTGCGGAGAGCGCCGAGGGTGCGGAGAGCGCCGAGGGTGCGGAGAGCGCCGAGGGTGCGGAGAGCGCCGAGGGTGCGGAGAGCGCCGAGGGTGCGGAGAGCGCCGAGGGTGCGGAGAGCGCCGAGGGTGCGGAGAGCGCCGAGGGTGCGGAGAGCGCCGAGGGTGCGGAGAGCGCCGAGGGTGCGGAGAGCGCCGAGGCTGCCGAGAGTGCAGAGTGTGCGGAGAGCGCAGAGGGTGTGGAGGGCGCAGAGGGTGCGGAGAGCGGAGAGGGTGTGGAGAGCGCAAAGGGTGCGGAGGGCGCAGAGGGTGCGGAGAGCGGAGAGGGTGTGGAGAGCGCAGAGGGTGCGGATGGCGCAGAGGGTGCAGAAAGCGCAGAGGGTGCGGAGAGCGAAGAGGGTGCGGATGGCGTAGAGGGTACGGATGGCGTCGAGGGTGCGGAGAGCGCAGAGGGTGCGGAGAGCTCAGAGGGTGTGGATGGCGCAGAGGGTGCGGAGAGCGCAGAGGGTGTGGAGGGCGCAGAGGGTGCGGAGAGCGGAGAGGGTGTGGAGAGCGCAAAGGGTGCGGAGGGCGCAGAGGGTGCGGAGAGCGGAGAGGGTGTGGAGAGCGCAGAGGGTGCGGATGGCGCAGAGGGTGCAGAGAGCGCAGAGGGTGCGGAGAGCGCAGAGGGTGCGGAGAGCGCAGAGGTTGCGGATGGCGCAGAGGGTGCGGATGGCGCAGAGGGTGCGGATGGCGCAGAGGGTGCGGATGGCGCAGAGGGTGCGGAGAGCGCAGAGTGTGCGGATGGCACAGTGGTTGCGGATGGCGCAGAGGGTGCGGATGGCGCTCAAGGCGCAGAGGGCGCAGCGGACGAGGCGTTGCAAGGCGAGGATGCGAACCCACGTTGTGAATTGCTGCCGGGGGTGGAGGGGTGTGTCGACATCGAGGGGTGTGTCGACATCGAGGGGTGTGTCGACATCGAGGGGTGTGTCGACATCGAGGGGTGTGTCGACGTGGACGGGTGTGTCGACGTGGACGGGTGTGTCGACGTGGACGGGTGTGTCGACGTGGACGGGTGTGTCGACGTGGACGGGTGTGTCGACGTGGACGGATGTGCCGACGTGGACGGGTATGTCGACGTGGAGGAAGCAACGGAGGAGCCGTGCAAGGGAGGAGAGGGCGAAGGAGAAGAGATGGCGCTGGAAAACGCGGGGAACAGCGCTGGCGTGCGGGGCATGCAGGGCGGTGGGTGCGCGGAATCCAGCAATGGGTGGGAGAAGGGGGCGGAGGAAAGGGGAGGGCGGGCGACGGAAACGGTGAGGGCAGTGGCGGGCGGTGGGGCGGAGAGGCGGGAGGTCGCTGGCGCGGGGAACAAAGATCCTGCAGGCGACGCTGAGGGGCAACAGGCGGGCGATGAGGGGAGGTGCGGGGATACGACAGATGCGGGAGAAACAAGGGCGAGGGATGCAACAGACGGCGCGGAGGAGAGCGAGGAGGGAGCGTGTTCCCATGCGGCCACAGCGCGTGCCACCCATGGCACCCCTCCTGCACCCGCGCCCTGCCACTCTTACCACGCGCCTCGCGACCCTGCCTCTCCTCCACCCGCTCCAGAACTTGCTGCTCCTCCCGCCCCCAGCGGTGGCAGCAAGCGCGTGGCATCAGCTGCAGCGAGTGCGGCGGCTGCAGCAATGAAGGCCGCCGCTGTGGCAACTGCTGCCGCTGCCGCTGCCAAGTGTGCTGCCGCCCGCCAGTCCCGCGTCTCAGATGCCCTGGCGTGGGACAGCAGGGGCGGAGAGGGCGGGGCGGTGAAGGCAAAAGCTCAAGGCGGTGGGGAGAGGAGGGCGAGGGAGGGAACTAAGGAGGGTGAGGTGACGCGTGGCACCAAGGAGAGCAGCACGCCGGGAAGCATGGTGGGAGGGGGCGAGTGTGGAGGAGAGGGGGTGAGGGGAGAGAGTGGTGGAGGGAAGTGCAATGGCAGAGCGAGTAAGGTTTTGGGGGTGAGTGGGAGGTGGGACGCAGCTGGCAGTGGTGGGCGCGTGGAAGTGCAGGGTGAGCGCAGTGGGGTGACAGGCGGTGGGGGGTTTGTGCACGTGGGTGGCGCTCGCATGGATGCAGGGGAGTGGCTGATGAGGGAGGCTGCTAAGCACGGCACGGAGATGCTCGTTGCTGTCGCCGCTGCTGCTGCCTCCGCTGAATGCCGCGACAATGCTGCCATGCGTGGCCACAGGCGACTCTCACAGCAAGCAGAGCACGCGGGGAATGACCAGCACTGCCCTGCTCAGCGGCAGCAGCAGGCAGTGCAATGCGTGCAGCAGCAGGCGCCATGGCAGCCAGAGCAGGTGCAAGGGGGTGCGACGCAGCACAGCCACCATCACAGTCCCAGCCACCAGCTCCTCCCACCAAAGCAGCAGCCGCAGCAGCCGCAACAGCAGGTGGTGGAGGATGCCCATTGCAGTAGTGGCACCGGCAGTGGCAGCGGTGGTGAGAGGGTGTGGCGGCCAGAGGATGGGTTGGGTTGTCTGGGCCCCGAGTCCTTCCAGGCGTTGCTACCCGACTTTGGCTGGCAGCCGCTTGCGTGGGTGGGCAGGCCCGACGAGCAGGGGCGCGCGGCGGCCGTGGGGGGGGGCGAGGCAGTGGAGGAGGCGAAGCGGTGGGCGGCGTATGAGGCGCAGTACCGACAGAGGCGCAGCGGGCACGTGGAGGGGCGACTGGGAGCACGCTGCATGGGTGATGGTGGGAGGGGAGACAGGGAGCAGCCGGACAAGGTGACAGGGATACAGCACGCACGGGCACAAGGGGCTGATGGGGGTGTGGGCAGTGAGGCAGCGGATGAGCGGGATGGGGAGGGGTCGGAAGGGTGGGAGGAGGGGTGTGAGGAGGACATGGAGATGGCGTTCCTCTTCCGGCAGCTGCGCTTCTACCACATGGGCTCCTCGCACCAACCCCAACCGCCCGCCACGCCTGCACCCGCAGCACCTGAGGAGCAGCTACTGCAAGACAGTGACAGCAGCGAGGGCAGGGGAGAGGAGCAGAGCAGCGGCAGCAGTGTGGGCAGTGAGGGCGCGTGGCGGCCGGAGCTGCCTCTGATACTGGAGGTGCCGGAGCTGGAGGCCCTGTGCACGTCACACGACACTTCGGAGAGCGAGGCGGGATGGTGCGATCGGGTCACCGCCTCGTCGTCCTCTGGTGACTCGTCACCACCTCACCATGCCTACGCTGCTGCACTGGGAGCAGCGGGTGAGGTGTCGTCAGCATTGAAGGGCGGTCGTGGGTTGGTGCTGCCCAGCATCAACCGCATGGCGTCCAGCCTGGTGTGGCGCCCATGGATCTGGCACAGCGCCTAGGTCAGACCACCCCCAGTTGGATCACGAGCTGATCACTACAAAATGGTAGTACATTCTTAGAAACTGAATGAATGATTAGAGAGAGAGAGTACAGGAATATATCTAAGTGTTGTACTCTCTAAGAGATGACCCTATACAGTATATGCAGAGTATAAGAGATACACCTGTTTGACACCCCCTAGATTGCATAGGGGCAGGTCCTGAACAAGCACCTCAGGGTGGCACTACTAGTCCAGCCACTGAGACAAGGGTCTAAAGACCAGTCAGAAGAAGTACAGGCAAGGCAAGAACAAGGCCAGGGCGGCACTACTAGTCCAACCACTGGTAGAGGACACAAGTCCAGTCTGAGTACACGTAGATATATATATATATATATACATATATATATATATAGGGCAGTACAAAGTCAAGGTCCTAGCAAGTGAGACGCTACAGGAACTAGACCGAGCTGTACACAGTGCCGCTGATGATTTTTAGGCGCAAGCGCCTTCGTAAAGATATCAGCTGTGTTGGCACCGGAGGCCAGGTGTACTACGCGAGCCTGGCGGCGCTGCTGTAGCTCGCGCAGGAGGAAGTACCGCAGCTGAATATGCTTCGCTCTGCCCTCGAGTCGAGGCTCTTGACACAGGAGGATCATGGCCCTGTTGTCAGCGTACAGGACCGGGGCAGAGCTAGGCCGCTCACCTAAGTCAGTGAGTAAGAAAGTCAACCAGCGGAGCTCCTGTGCCGCCATGGCACCAGCGTAGATCTCGGCCTCACAGCTGGACTGGGCAACAGACGAAGAGCGGGTAGCTCTCCACGAGACGGCACCTAAACCAAGGCTGAAGCAGTAGCCCTGGGAGGACCTGAGTGTCTCAGCGTCGTCAGCCCACGAAGCGTCTCTGTGTCCAGTAAGGACCACTGGCCTGCGTCTTAGGAACTTGAATGAATAATAGAGAGAGAGAGAGAGAGAGTACAGGAATATATCGTTGTACTCTCTAAGAGATGACCCTATACAGTCTATGCAAAGTCTAAGAGATACACCTGTTTGACACACCCCCAAGACTGCATAGGGGCAGGTCCTGAACAAGCAGCTTAGGGCGGCACTACTAGTCCAGCCACTGAGACAAGGGTGTAAAGACCAGTCAGAAGAAGTACACGCAAGGCAAGAACAAGGCCAGGGCGGCACTACTAGTCCAACCACTGGTAAAGGACACAAGTCCAGTCTGAGTACACGCAGATATATATAGGGCAGTACAAAGTCAAGGTCCTAGCAAGTGAGACGCTACAGGAACTAGACCGAGCTGTACACAGTGCAGCTGATGATCTTTAGGCGCAAGCGCCTTCGTAAAGATATCAGCTGTGTTGGCACCGGAGGCCAGGTGTACTACGCGAGCCTGGCGGCGCTGCTGTAGCTCGCGCAGGAGGAAGTACCGCAGCTGAATATGCTTCGTTCTACCCTCAAGTCTAGGCTCCTGAGACAAGAGGATCATGGCCCTGTTGTCAGCGTACAGGACCGGGGCGGAGCTAGGCCGCTCACCTAAGTCAGTGAGCAAGAAAGTCAGCCAGCGGAGCTCCTGTGCCGCCATGGCACCAGCGTAGATCTCGGCCTCACAGCTGGACTGGGCAACAGACGAAGAGCGGGTAGCTCTCCACGAGACGGCACCTGAACCAAGGCTGAAGCAGTAGCCCTGGGAAGACCTGAGTGTCTCAGCGTCGTCATCCCACGAAGCGTCTATGTGTCTAGTAAGGACCACTGGCCTGCGTCCTCCTAGCACTAACCCCATGCCCGATGTACTTGCAAGATAACGCAAAACCCTCTTAGCGGCAGACCAGTGCTGCGGTCGGTGTCTGCCAGTGGCCACAAAGCGAGCCAGGATGCTGAGAGGGTATGCGAGATCAGGGCGAGTGCAAGTCATCAGGTACATGAGGCAACCCACCAGCTCTGCGTAAGGACCACTGGGCTCTACTGACTCCTCAGGAACTGGAGCGGAGAGTCTGTGGGCTAGAGGCAAAGGGGTGGGCTGTGCAGAGGAGAACTGAAGGCTGAACCTCTGAAGGACCTGGCGCACCAAGTGTGACTGAGTCAGGGTAATGGTGCGCGCTGCTCTATCCCTGGAGATCTGCAGGCCAAGGTAACGGCGCAGTTCTCCAAGGTCAGTGCAAGTGTGTCTCTTCAGCAGCCCTGCCTTCACGGAGGCCAGTGCGTCCCTGTCTGCTGTGGCAAAAACCAGGTCGTCCATGTACGCAAGGATGTAGAACGGAGTCTGGCCAGCACGAACGAAGAGTGAGGGGTCTGCCGAGGACGGAAAGAACTGAAGGTCAGCAAGAGTAGCACGCAGCGTGTCGTGCCACTCACGGGGAGCCTGCCGCAGGCCATAGACGGGATGCCGCAGGAGCCACTGGGTCCCAGGAGGGAAGGTGCCAGTAAAGCCCTGAGGGCGGCGCAGGTAGACCTGCTCGTGTAGGCTGCCCTGAAGGAAGGCAGTGGAGAAGTCGAGGGAGTGAAGCTCGTAGTCACGCTGAGCTGCTAAGTGTAGCAGAACCCGAAGAGTAGTCATCTTCGGGGTCGGAGCGAAGGTCTGGAAGAAGTCCACCCCCTCACGCTGACTGAAGCCTCTAGCCACGTAGCGCGCCTTGAACACAGGCGGCTCTCCAGGGGGGCGCTTCACCTTGAAGAGCCAGCGACCATCGACTACGTTCACCCTAGGTGGGGGAACTGCGTCGACGAAGGTGCCGGTGGATCTCCAAGATGCCATCTCCTGCTCCATGGCAGCTATCCACTTGGAGGCCTAGGGTCCCGAGGTCGCCTCAGCGTAAGTGCGAGGGGTCGAGATGTCGAAAGCGTCTGGGTCACCCTCAGGGACTAGCAGCATGGAACAGAGATGGGGAGCAGCCTCGGACACGAAAGCAAGCTCGAACTGGCGGTCCTAAAGGACGTCACTGCCGAGGGCAGGAGCACCCCCGACAGACGGAGGACAGGCAGGGTCAGAGACCAGAGCTGTGGCGTAGTCAAGGCGGCGGGTAGAGGCGAAGTCAGCGACCGCAGCGACAAGAGCGTCAAGACACGAAACCGGAACAGACGGGTCGGTAACGAGAGAGGCAAGGACCCGAGACACGAGAGGACGAGCGGCACGAAGGTAGTCAGACAGAGGGGGGGGAGCAACGACAAGAGAGGACGGAGGAGGGGACGGGAGAAGGGGAGGACGAGACACGTGGGAACGAAGCAACATAGGGTGAGAGCGGGTGACAGGGGAGACAGGACGAGCACGAGAGGGACGGTGAGACCAGACGTGAGACGCAAGAGTCAGGTCGGGAGACAGAGGAGGGGACACAAGGGGAGAGCGAGGGGGAAGACGAGCCGGGGACGAGTCCGGCGGAGGGAACACAGGGCCGTACACGGGGAGAGGAGGAGACGGGAGGAGAGGAACGGACGTAGGGTCAGGGGACGGAAGGCCGAGCAGGCGAAGGGCAGACACTGGCGGGGACTGCTGCTGCAGTGGTACAACACCGACACCGGGACCGCAAGTTGCTCCGCGGCTACCACCGACAGACTCCACTCGAGCACCCCCAGAAGGAACACCCTCAGGGCCCGAAACTCCTCGAGCACCGGCACCACCCCCAGGGCCACCGGGGCTAGAGCCCACTCCAACGCCGACACCCCCAGGGGCAACGAACGGCTGCTGCGACGGCGGCGGCGGCTGCGGGGACCACGGCGGCGGCGACAGCAGAGGCGACGACGGCTGCAGAGGCGGTGGAAGAGGAGACGCCGGGGGAGGGGCAGACGGCGAGGACTGCGCCGCAGGACCACCAGAGTCAGAAGACTCCTCAACCGGGACAACCGACAGGAGAGGGGTGACGTGGGACACACCAGAGGGGGCAGGACGGGGAGGGGGAGGGGGAGGGGCAGGGACCACAGGGGAAGTAGGGGCCAGAAACAGGGGGGGGGTAACCGGGGGACCACGGTGGGGGAAGCGACTGAAGAAGGAGACGGACTCGTCAAAGGTGACGTCGCGAGAGTGAAAGAAGCGGTGAGACGGCGGGTGGTAGAAGTGCCAGTCGGACGCGTCAAGGGGAAAACCTAGGAAGACGCAGGGAAGGGTGCGGGCAGTGAGCTTGTCCGTGCCGGAGGCACGAACGTGAGCAAGGCAGCCCCAGACGTGGAATGCAGACGCGTCACCAGGAGACCCGGTCCAAAGACGGGTTGGCGAAACCTGCGGCCGCTGGGGGTGCGGCCACAGGTTAAGCTGGTGAGCAGCATAGCGCACGGCGAACGGCCACAGAAAATGGGGAGCACCGGCATGGATCATGGAGGTGCGAGCAACCTCCATGACTAAACCAATGCATCGCTCAGCGACCCCATTCTGCTGTGGGGAGTACGGCAAGGTGAACGTCTGGGTGATGCCCTCCGCACGATAGAGACGACCAAGGACAACTGAGGCAAACTCGCCACCACGGTCGGAGTGAAGGCGCAAGACAGGGAGACCTCGGTGGACACGGGCAGAGACAAGCCAGGGGATGAGAGCGTCAGGCACGTCGGCCTTCCGCTCCAGGGGAAAGACGGTGGTGTAGCGAGTGAAGTCGTCGACAAGCACGAGGAAGTAGCGTTATCGACGCGGCCCATGGACGGGGGCGGGGCCCCAGACGTCCATGTGCAGGGTCTGCAGCGGCGCGGCGGTAGGGGGAAAAGAGGAGGAGTGGGGGGCACGGCGAAGCCGACCCTCAACACAAGGAGTGCAAGGCGGGGCGGGGGAGGAGGGAAAAGGGGGGAGGGAACCAGGGAGACCAAGGACGAGACCGTGCTGGGACATGGAACGCAGACGCGGGAGCGCAGGGTGACCTAGACGGTGGTGCCAAAGGAGAGTCGGGTGAGTGAGAGACCGACAGGAGCAGGCAGCAGCAACCTGGGAAGACGCAGCCACCTGGAGGGGCGCCCCAGCCGGGGGGGTCACGGTGTCCAGGGTGAACAGGCCGGACACCGGGTCCCGAGGGAACGTGGACAGAGGGGCACCTGTGGCAGCCTCGGCACAGACAGCATACCGCTCGTGACCAGGGAACGTAGTGGTGACGCCAAGGTCCTGGAGGCAGCCGACACCAACTAGGTTCCTGGAGAACGAGGGGATATGCAGACCTGTGAGAGAGCCCGAAGGAAGTGCCGGACAAGGAAGGGTGG